TGCGAGCTTAAACGATATAGTTAACTCGAGTTTCAACCTAGGCGAGAAAATTCTCGAACCTAAAATAGAGAGAAAAATTCTTAGATCCTTACCTAAGCATTTTAGGCCTAAAATCACGGTGATTGAAGAAAGTAAGGACATAGATTTTATCAAGGTGGAGTTTTTAGTTGGATCCCTACAGATTTACGAACTGGCCTTAGAAAAACCTAAGAAGAAGTCATTGGCCTTGAAAATTGTGAGTAATAACCGGAATGAATCTTCTAACTCCGATTCACCGAATGATGAGGAGCTTGCCTACCTTGCCAAAAAATTCCAAAAAATGTTTAGAAAGAAAAATAAGCTTCAAGAGAAACAGATCTAGGAGAAGATCTAAATCGGTGAGGTGCCATAATTGTCAAGGTTTAGGTCATGTGAAGAATGAGTGCCCTAGTGCTAAGAGAGTTATGGTAAGGCTATAAATTCTACCCTCTCTGATGACGAGTCTAGATCGAACAATCAAGGTGAGAAATCCACTCGGGAGGAAAGTGGAAAATACGTTGCCTTTGTTGCTAGGGTTGAGAGTGGATCCGACCAAGGAAGTGAGAGAGAAGAGGACATGGAGAGCAATGAGGATTCTAGTGGAGAGCTTGAAAGTGAGGAAGATCTCCAAAAGGCGTACAATAGGATGTATAAGGAAAGCATCAAGATTCTCACTTCTAATCAAACCTTGAATAAGAAAGTGGGAGAGCTTAAGTTAGAGAAAGAGAAGTTTGCAGTACATATTCAGGAATCTACCTCCATTCTAAGTGAATTGAAATCCATGAATGAAATCTTTGAAACTCAGGTTAGGAATCTCACCAATGAGTTTGAGAAGTCATCTAGGAAAGTCAGTGAGTTGACAGTTGAGAATGAGACTTTAGATATCCAAGTTAAGTACCTTTTGAGTGAACTAGAGTTGTCTAAGCCTCAACTTCTTGCCTTTTCTAGCAGTTCTGAAAGTTAGATAACATTCTAGGAATGGGTAAGCTGGCTGAAAATAAGGAAGGTCTAGGATACAAAGGTAAAGATCATGATATTGCTAGCACATCTAAGACCACATTTGTCCCTGCCACAAATCAGCCTAAACATGTGCCTAACCTCGAACCTAAAGTTAAGGAAACTGTAAGACTAAGGTCTACCAAACACCGTGGGACCCGACGACCTAGGAATAGATGTCAACGTCCACAGAACATTGGTCCTAGGTTTATTCCTACTTGTTATCACTGTGGTGAGTTTTGTCACATACGCCCTAGATGTCATCAGTACCTGAGCAAAAATAGGAACATGAACTTCAATATGAACAAAAATCAAGCTGTTGTTGGTCAGATTGGACTCCTTACTTCTCAAGTGAGTCATTTGATCAAGTTGATGACACAGCTGTCTGGGAACAATCTCCAACTAGACAAGCTTGGGTAAAAAAGAGTTATTTGAGAAACATTAATTCAGATCGCGGTGCTTTTAAGGGTAAGAGCATTCTCATACCTGAGATTGGGTATTTTTAATACATGCTTGTGTTTAATTGATTTTTTTAGTAATTTGTGTGTGCATCACTTTTGTTGTTTTGATTTTATTTTTAATTTTTTTGGTTTATTTTCCTGCATGTGCATCTTTTCATGTTTGCATTTGGCACATGCAAATTTTGTTTTTTGCTTTGTGCACTTTTTTTTAACTTCGAGTGTGGTTCTTTCATGTTTTGAAAAATGAAAAAAAAAACAAAAAAAATTGAAAAATCAAAAACAAAAAAACAAAAATTGGTTTTTGAAATCCCTACTACAGCATGAACCAAAATTGATTAGTTGTAGAATAATTTTCGTTGCTTAGGTCTTTGTGGAGTACTTAGTATATGTGTCTTCATTTACTATCCGCACTACACACACTATAAATTTGTTAGTGGGACTCTACCACGTGTGTGAGATTTGGGATGACTGTCACATGTTAATAGGGTGACTTTGAACATAAATTGATCAAATTTAGTAGACCTAAGCTCAAATATTCCCCATTATATAAAAAGCTCCACATCTTAATGTTTTTCTTCAGAGTCTATTTGACTCAAGCAATTAAGCCTGCGGGGTTTCTTAAAATCTGGTGCCTATGGTCAACTAACTTGGGTTAACCGGCCTAAAGCTCACTACAGAGGTCATCTTAGCTGTTTAATGGAGAAAACCTGTACTTAAGATGAAGAACTGTACTGAGCTTAAATAATGAGAAATATGTGAAAAATATTCTAAGTTTGATTAAAAATTTAAATGCTCATTGATAGGGGAAGAAAATTGAAAATAATAAGTGTAGGTCCTAATGCGCTTACATAGTTTGACTTTCATGAATAGGAGAATATACTTATTGGCAATGAGTTTAGCATGCCCCATCTCACAAAATTAAGGTTTAGAGTCCTACTTGCATTGGATTAGTGACACTTTACACACGAGTTACTTGTATAATTTACTCCTTTCTCACTTAAATTTAGTGTGTGGGGAGGCTTATAACTTATTGATTATACTTATGAATGCGATCAACTACATCTTTAAGTTGTTATATGTTGCTGCCCTGCTTGATTTTGATTGCATTCCCTTTAGCATGTGTGACAAAAAGGAAGATAGAAATGTGTAACTGAGGGGGCGAAAAATAAAGAGCATATACATAGGATGAGTAAATTTACATATGCACTGATTTCATCATTTGATATTTTTCATTTTGCATTGTTATGTTGAGTGGTCGTTGGGGAGAGACATAGATATATTTACCTACTGCATATAATTTATAAGAGTTTGCAGTATGGGGGAGCATTACATTGCATTCCTTATCATATAGATTGTTGTTTGCATTTTGATGCTTAGTGATGTTGGTGTTTTGGTTGGCGTTTTGATTGACATCAATGTCACGTCTCAAACGAGCATGTTGATTTGTGATTTAATGCTTTATTTGTTATATTTCTTGTATCACGTGCTTTTGCACTTGGTATTGAGTTTTTTAATTCAGGAAATAGGTTTAACAAGGAATGCTGCTTGGGTTATTTGATTAGATTAGTTTTTTTTTTTATTTATTTTACGTCATTGACTTCATTTGTATAGTTTTATCACAAAATGCCAAAGGGGATATTTGCTAGGTCCAAATATTGTAATTGGTGATTCTATGAACAAAAGGGACAAAAAACAATTATAAAAGTTAAGGACTTGGTTGTAATTTTGTATAGTTGGTTATGGTAGATTAGGGTTCGAGATCGAGCTTGGAAAAAGGAAAGAAGATTGTCGCATTTTCAGTGGCCTATCGCCTAGCGTCGCTCGAGCAACAGAAATAGTTTTACCGTCTCTCGCTTATTGCCCAGGCCTCTCTCGAGCGACAGAAGGAGAATCAATCTTGCTCGCTTTTCGCCCAGGTCTCGCTCTAGCGACATCCTCTCGCTTTCTTGTCACTCATCTCTCGCTCGACCGACAGGTTTACGCAACTTGACCTAATTTTCATTTTTGGAAAGTTTTCCACGGTCCATACTGCTTATACACCTTCAGATATAAATATCCAAGTATATGGACGAATTTCTTAAGGTTGTTTATTGTGTTTCAACTTCATATCAAATTCATTTTATTTTGTGAGATCCAAGAACAAGATTCAACAAGGAATTCATTCATATCAATCTTGTTATCCAGCAACCGAGTTTTAGAAAACATCAACGATCCGTGAATCCAAAACTTCTGGGTCCTTAATTCTTTAAGGAACGGACTCTCTCATTGAGCGTTGAGAGAGGTGGACTTCAAGTGCAGTACAAGTACAAGAACAGGATGTTCTTGGTATTCTACTTGGAAAAGACGATTGGTTTAAGATCAAGAGGCTAGGAGACGACAGCAAATCTTGGAGCTGCAGGAGGTAGGTTGGGAAGTCTAGTAGAGTGGCTGGACACCATCTACGACAGCAGATGGTGAGACTAGAATACACACAGCGAATCATAGAGATTACAGGGATTACAATAGCTAGAACGAGTGAAGTTGCTAGGTTGAAATTGTGCTATAACCCAAATCGTCTATATTGGAGGT